GCACACCAGCAGAGCTGCCGGTGGGGCTGTTCACCTGGTGCATATGGGTGGGTCCGTGGGTTCCTTTCCTCCTTCCTCTGGAGCACACACTAGGGTCCTCAGCCACCTTCCCGCACAGGTGCCAAGGTTAGGTCACCACCAGTGAGTCTGCCATCCAGGGCCTTTTGTCTAGGCTGTTGGTACTTGCTGGAGCTCCCCCCACATCACAAAGCTGACTCTCTTCTTCAGGGTCTCAGCTTAAATATTACCTCCTCACCCAGTACCTTCCTCTCTCTTCCCCTCCAATTTCTGCCTCAACCACCATAGTATCCTCCATGGCTTGACTTTGCAAGGACAAGTATTTACTGCTTTGCCCACATAGTTGGTCTCTGTCTAGCACCCAATGCCCACATATGGTCCCGGAGGGAAGAAACCAGCAGTGCCTGGCACATAGTAGGCCCTCAATACAAAGCTGTGGAATCAATGAAGCATGTATGAACAGTTGCACTTATGCTATGCCCAAAGGCACACTTCCTTTCTGTCTCAAGTATTTTTACCTCCATATGGATGCCCGGTCCTTAGTCTGGCCCCTCTTTGTTCATCTACAGAATTCAGTCAGGGCACTTTTGGGAAGCCTCTTCCTGAAAGCTGAGCTCTCTTAGCAGCCTGCACACACCCTGGCTCCAGACTGTGATTAGGACCAAGTGGCTTGTTGATTCCACTCAACTGTGTGCTCAAGGTGTCAGCAATCACATCGAGCTTTGTAGATCTGAAGGAGCTCTGGTGGCACTGGCGTTAAAGCATTTTGCTGCAAACCAAATGTTCAGCGGTTCAAATCCACCAGCCACTCCATAAGAGAAAGAAGCAGCAGTCTGCTTCCATAAAGATTTGCAGCCTTGACTGGTACACCATGTGATCCTCAGCCTATCTGACTATGAGACCAGAAGAACTAGATGGTACCCGGCTACCAATGACAGCCACCTGAAGGGGGATCTATGTAGGAGATCCTGGATAGAGAGGGAGAACAATGTGGAACAAAACTCAAAATCATTTGGGAAAAAAAAAGGGGGAGGGACCAAGTTTGCTGGTCTGATGTAGGCTGGTGGGACCGCTGAGACTGTGGCCCCTGGCTGCCCTTCAGGTCTGGAGTTGGGCCCACACTTGTGCCTTCCAGCCAGGCAGAAGACACGTGTACGAGTTGAACGTTTACCTGAGGTGGACACACTCCTTGGAGACAACAATCATGGGAAAAACAGGGGCTGTTTATGCATAGGGAGACAGCTCAAGGGGCAGGAGTGCATGGAGGGATGGACACAGGGAAGAGGTAACTATCGGGAGGAAGTGGGAAGGGAGCCGCTGCATTGGGGTAAATTTTAGTCAATGTCATGAGACAAAGTGTATGTGAACTGCTGTATGGAAAGTGCATTTGCTCTGTAAACTTTCACCCAAATCACAATTTAAAAAAAAAAGACTTGTAGCCTTGTAAACCCCAAGGAGGAGTTCTACTCTGTTCTTACAGGGTCACTATGAGTCCTTCTAAGAACTGATTGATTGCAGTGGGTTTGATGGGGTTTTGTAAATCTGCGGCAACTTGAACATTACTGAATGACTGCAAAAAGATCTTTTACTTCAATGTGGTTTTCACTCCTCCCACCCATAGAGTGAGTTGATATTCTGGTGGCGTAGTGCCTAAGGCATTTGACTGCTAACCAGAAGGCTGGCTGTTCAAACCCACCAGCCACTCCTCAGAAGGAAGGTTGGGCAATCTACTTACGTAGAGATACAGCTTCCAAAACCCAAAGAGGGATCACTATGAGTCAGATCTGACTCCATGGCAGTGAGTTTGGTTTTTGGTTTAAATCTGGGTAGGGCTTGTGACTGCTAGAATGCCAGAGGTGATACCAGAGACTTTGAAGGCTAGGTCATAACAGGGATCAGCTTCCACCTGGCTTTGTTGGGAATGCTAGCACCAATGGAACCAGCAGTCAGGAAATCAGAGGACATTTTGTACTGAGCAAATCTGCTACAAAAGACCTCTTTTAAAGTGCTGAAGAGCAAAGATGTCTCTTTGAAGACTAAGGTGTGCCTCACCCAAACCACGGTATTTTTCAATTGCCTCATATGCATGTGAAAGCTGGATAATGACTAAGGAAGACTGAAGAAGAGTTGATGCTTTTGAATTGTGGTGCTGGCGAAGAAAGCTGAAAGTACCATGAACTGCTAAAAAAAAAAAACCTGCCATCGAGTCAGATCTGACTCATAGCGACCCATCCTTGGGTTTCCAAGGCTGTATCACTGCAGAAGTAGATTACCCAACCTTCCTTGAGGAGTGGCTGGTGGGTTTGAACTCCCAGCCTTCTGGTTAGCAGTCAAAAAAAACTAACAAATCTGTCCTGGAAGAAGTGCAGACAGAATGCTCCTTGGAAACAAGAAGGGCCGGACTTTGTCTGACCTACTTTGCCACTCCTCGGAAGGAATGTTGGGTGATCTACTTCTGCAGTGATACCACCTCAGAAACCCAAGGAGGGGTCGCGATGAATCAGGCCCGACTCAATGGCAGATGACAACAACAACAACAACTTTTGGTCAAGGGACCCTTCCCAGGAGAAGGATATCATGTTTGGTATAGTGGAGGCTCAACAAAAAAGGGGAAGGCCCTCAGCAAGATGGATTGACACAGTGGGTGCAACAATGGGCTCAGGTATAGTGGGGATTGTGAGGCTGACACAGGACCGGGCAGTGTTTCATTCTGTTGTACATAGGGTTGCTATGAGTCAGAGCCGACTTCATGGCACAGCACTTAAAGCTCTGGGGATGAGGGCCTATGTGTTCAAAGGGCGCTAATCAAGGCCCGGCAGAAGAAAGACCTGATTTTCCAAAACATCAGGCTACTGAAAGCCTTGGGAGCACAGTTCTCTGCCGCTGGCAGGATATAGCACAGCTCTGGAGCCTGGAGCCCCACCACCCGCCACCTGTCTGCCTGCTCTACTAGCTTTCTGGGCTGTGGCTTTGGGAAACATGTCCCTCCTATGTCCAGGACCTCAGACTAGGCCCACCTGACTTTCCAACTCCAAGTTCTCTAGTGGGGGGCAGGGGCAAGACCTGGGAAATCAAGAGAAAGACACGGAGAGGTTGGAGTGAGGCTGAGGAATGATGGCAGGAAGTGGAGTTAGGGGCAGAGAGGGAGAAGGAAAAGGATGGAAGACAGAACAAGAATTAGAAACGAAAGACAGAGCAGAGCGATGGACCACGGAAAAGGCAGAGAAAGGAGAGAGAGAGTGCAGGGAGGGGAGCCCTAAGTTTGACTTCCTGAAGCAGCGACATTTCACTAGAAGTGAAACAGGAGTTTTTAAAGCCTTGGTGGCATACAGTAATTTAAACTCTTCTTTCCTGGCTGGGTCCAGTGCTCCCTCCATCCTAACCCCCAGAGCCTTTTAAAGGTTCGGAGTAAATGGGATTTCCAGAAAGACAAAGAAGTGGAAACACCCTCCCCTGCTAATCCCTGGCTCTCTTGCTTAAAAATTCTATTTCTTCCATCCTAAAGGAAGGGTAGAGAAGGCACCTCCTCCGCCTGTGCCTGATTTGAATGCTGGGACGAGGCCCTGTGCTTTCTCTTCTCTTGACGTCTGAATATATTCCTTTATTATCATTATGACAGCTTTCTGATTGCATTAAAATTCATCCACACGTGCCTTTCTATCCAGCCACTTCCCTTGTGCCAGTGTTGTTTTTTTTTCCCCTCTAATTCCTTCCCCTTTTCCTCTGAAATCTCCCTTTACTGGGCAGTCCTCAGTTCTAGGCCCGAGCCCCTCTTTCTTGGGGCCTTTATAAATGTGTAGGGGGGCAGGCTCCCCATCTACCTATCAGTCCTGATTTCCCCAGTGACTGCCATCAATGTCACCCTTCAGGAAGACTTCAGGAAACCACAGAAACGTGGCTCTAGACTCACTTTCTCTAGGAAGTGTGCAGGGATTGATACCACCTTACTCAAATGTTTTTGTAGCATCCTCCGATGTTTCCTGTTTGCGCTCTTTTCATTCCAATTTGGTTTTGTTACTTTGTGAGCATGTTTCAGATGTCTTTCAGACCAGAGGCTGGAAGGACCTCCTTCCTAGCCAGGTCCTCTGGCTCAAACTCAAGGTCCCCTGCCACCAGCACTTCATTTTTTTAGTACTATAAAACAGGCATAAATTAGACCCTCTTCACGTGGTGGAGTCCCTGCGTGGTGCAAGTGGTTAAGCGCTTAGCTATTAACTAAAAGGTTGGTAGTTCAAACCCAAGCAGAGGCATCTCAGAAGATAGATGTGGTGATCTGAAAGGTCACAGCCCTGAAAACCCTATGGAGCAGTTGCTGCAATTTAAGAATCAACTGGATAGAAACTGGTCTTTATGTGGTCGTTGCTAGGATTCCAAGAGGTGCCATCTCAGGCTAGTAGTGATAGCAACAGCAATCATTATCATTACTTAGGTTTTTCCATGCAGGAGGAAGAAGAAATGGAGTGACACTTGTGACGGGTCTGCCCTGCTCCTGATTTGGTGAGGCAGGCCCTCCTCCCCCTGGGTATGTAGTCATTCAACAATCATTCCCTGGCCACCTTCTCCATGCCAGACACTATTCCAAGCACTGCTTCTGTAGCAGTGACCAAAAATGGAATCTGCTTGCTGGAGCTGACATTGACATAAGACATCCACAATAAACAAATCATCCAGTGAGACAAAGACCAGCACAGATGCCACACTGTGGCCCCAAAACTGGCGTGCCCTCCCCAGAGGGAGCTGGCTTTACAAACTGACAGAGCTAGGCAGGACTCTGGATAACATCAAGGGTCCCACCCTGTGTCAGTTGAGGAAGTGGGGGCAGAGGGATCTCAAGGACTCACATTTGGGGCCCCACAGTAGGGACCATGACTAAACCTAGTCTTTTAAGGTTTCATGACTGCTCAGTCCCATAACCTTGTGCTCTACCATCCTGATATTTTAAAAAGTGAGTGCCTCTGTCTGTTGGCATGAGGGAGCACCTGGGTTTCTGGGGAGGAGTGTGACTCCCCAGCATGGCTGGGTGACAGAAGGTGGATTCTAGACCAAGCCTTGCCCCAGCTCCCAGAGGGCAGCTGGGCTCTCTGCACCCAGGTGTCCTGCCACCATTGGAAAGAAGACATAGACTGTACTTGCTTACCCCAGGACCTAGGGGTGGAGGAAGCTGATGAAATAGTGGATGGAATAAGTACCCAATTAGGGGCTCCATCAGAGCACCTGACATCTCCCCTGGGTCCATCCCCTGGTGACTCTTTCTGTAGGCATTTATTTTGCACTTACTGTGAGCCTGGGCCTTGACTGAGCACTGCATCTGAGATGAGCCTTAGAGGACCTTCTGGGTTTCAACTTTCAGAGTGCTGAAGGGGAAGTGGGTGGTTCTGATACCTGAAGGATCTAAAGTGCTTTGGTCCAATGGCCCAAGAGCCTCGTGGTGAAGAAAGACCGACAGGCCTGGTCTTCAGGTTTAATAGCTCTGGACTGTGGGCCAGAGGGGACCAGCTGGAGAGGGAGGAGCAGCTACGCCTGGAGGCTTCCAGAAAAAGGACCTGGAGTTGTGAGGTCCAGAAGAAGATGCAGGGGGCCCCAGGCCCACATCAGAATTTGAGCTAAGGCCGAGTGAGGGGAGGGACCCCTTTTGTTACCCTTCCATCTGCTCCCACGCGGAATAGGGCTTGCAAGAAGGGGGCCCGAAGGGAGTTTGACTTTGCTTTTCCAGGTGCCCCCTGCCTACTCCCCTTCCCTCAACATATCTCCTGTTCCTGTAGTCTTGGGAATCTGTTTCATTTCCATACACTCCCAATCAAACTCTGAGCTTGGGTTTCTTAACCTATAAAAAGCATGAGTGATACTCACTGGAAAGCCAGAGGGGCTTATGAAAAGGCATGGATGCTTGCTGCCAGGATCTCAAGCTTCCCCTGCTCCCTCCTCTGGGGAAGATAAAGACTTTGAGCTCCGGGCATCAGGGCGGTAGGGGGCTCAGTCTGGAAAGATTTGTATTTCAAAAGCAAGCCCAGAGAGCAAAGAAGCAATGCCCTGTGGAACATCAGGCATAGGGCAGGCCCATAAGGGGGGTCATTCAGGTGCTGCTTTACAGGCCCTGTGTAGCCATTGGGGAGTATCTTGCTGGCCCTGCCTGGTGAATGGGCCCCTGATGGGGGAGGAAGCCAGTGGTGGAAGAGCCAGTTCACTTGCCAAATACCAGTGCCCTGGCCCTAATGCTCAAATTCCGGTTTAATTTTCAAAATTTGATTCGCTCATTACCATCGGCATTAAACAATATTTTCTGCTTAAGGATAGATGGCTGCTGGTGCACTGTGGATAAGTGTTCAGATGGCTAATGCCTTTTATTGCTGCAATAGACTTTTACTATTCCCTGCCCTCCAGCTGCTGAGGGAGGGGACCCTGAGCTGGGAGAACCCGTGGGCCAGGGGCTGGGGTGGGAAATAAATGTGGCAGGGAGGGAGGACAGAGTGGAGGCTGGGAGACCTCAGGGGCCTGGCTAGTTAGGGGTGGGGGTGGGATGCAGTACCAAACCAGCAGGATACATTTTCAGAAGGAACACTGGAGGCTCGAGAGCAGCACTTTGGGGGGTGAGGAGAAAATGCCAGACATTTTGCAGTGACTCAGGTGGAGGCTTCTCTCTGCTCTGGAGTCTTTGCACCTGTGGGTGGCAGGACAGGGCAGTAGCCCAGAGACCTGGGTGCACCAAGAGCTGCCCCTCAGCTGCCCACTCTGGAGAGGCCAAGCTGGGACCCTGGAGCCATCCCATTAAGGGCCTTGGAAAGGAGGGTGTTTGAGCTGTTTGTTCAGTGTAGGACCAGCCCTACCCTCTAACAGGGTGCCTTCTGGATCCCAGGACCATCTGCCCTCCTTGGAGATGTGGGTGCTGGGAGTCTGAGGGTGGGGGACCTGTCGTGCCTCCCTCACTTCACCTCTGGATCAGGGAAGACCTTCTATCACAAGGGGCAACAGCACCCCGGACTTAACAAGAGGGAGCTGGGGTGGTGGTGGTTGTGTAATCTTCTAGGTAGTAATGAGGCTGTTGTATAATCTTGTGCCACTCAGGTACCCTTTCTGGGCCTCAGTTTCTTCCTCTGTTAAAGGGGGGACTAATAGCATCCACCTTGTAGGGCTGTTGTGAGGATTAAATGTGTTAAGGTATGTGAGGTTTTTAGTACAGGGCCTGGCTCAGAGTAAATGCTCAATAAAGGCCAGTTATTTATGACTGTCAAGGGGCCCTGGTGGGGTGATGAGTAAGACTTTAGCTGCTAACCTCCCTTGGTAGCAGGTGCCCATTCAGTAGCTCTGTGGGAAAAAGACCTGGTGATCTACTCCCATAAAGATTCCAAAAAAACAAACTCGCTGCCATTGAGTCAATTTTGACTCATAGCTACCCTCATGGGGTCTCCACGGCTGTAAATCTACAGAAACAGACTGCTTCATCTTTTGCAGAGTGGCTAGTGGGTTTGAACCATCAACTCTTTGGTTAGCAGCCAAATGCCTTAACCACTACACCACCAGAGCTCCTTCCCATAAAGATTATTGCCTAGAAAACCCTCTCTGACAGTTCTGCTTTGTCACATGGGGTCGCTATGACTTGAAATCGATCCAATAGCATCTAACAACAACACGACTCTTAAAACTTTTACTATTGCTCACCCATAAGGGCGATCTGCAACAATCTAATGGCACAAGCTGGTGGAATGGGAATGCCCTTCTTCTGAGGTGTGGTGAGCCCCAAGTCCTCAAACTAAACAAAATCAGCCTGAGAAACCAGGTCTTCCTGTGCACACCCTAACCAAATGGTAGCATTTCAGGGACCACTGAGCACTTCCAGCTGCCTTGATCGGGACATGAGGCCTTTCCCCAAAGCTCCACTGAGCACCACTCTATGCTGTTTCCTCAAATTCTTCCTGCCCAGGCCAGCCCAGCACCCACGGTGCCTAAAGCATGGTGCAGGGAGCAAACTGTGCTAAATCTGTGCAATATTCAAGGTTGTTTGACCACTCCCACCCCACGTCCATGGCCTCCCTTCCTCCTCTTTGCCAACCCCCAGGCTGGCAGCGGGCAGTCTCAGTGCTGCCTTGCAAGCAGGGGTGCTGTGAACAAGGCGGGGGGTGTGTGTGTGCACCCCCACTCTTTCAACTTCCCAGAGTCCTGGTGGGTGAGGGTCAGTTTCCAACATCATGTTCACCCTAGAATTAAGGCCTACGTTTGGCTCCCTTCACAGCTGTTTCTCCCAGAAGCCCGTGCCTTCACCTGGGACACAGGGTCACAGAGTGGGCCTCAGGAGAGTACTCAGCAAGCCAGGAGGAAATAAATGTCCCATCGCCGCCACCACCACCTATGTGTCAGAACTGGAAAGCCGCAGCTGGGTGGGGACCGCCTTCTGAGGATAAAAGCCTTCCTGCCTGGAAAGAAGGCTGAAAGAGACATCAAACCAGATCAAAGGCTGCAGAGACTAGAGAGGGGAGAGGGCTGGGAAGGGGCTCCTGCTCCACCGGGATGCAAATGAGGACCCTCAGCCTGTGGCCTCTGGGGAAGCAGGGCCAGGCCTTGATGTGCCTGCTCCCCTAGGGGACCAGCACTGTTTGATGTTGGAAGTGGGAGGAGGCCTGAGAACTGCAGCTGGTAGGGGTGGGATGGGGGCGGGAGGCTTGCATTTCTTCAGCTCTGCCTTCCAAATACTTCAGGATCCATCATCGGGCTCCCTTCTCCTTTTCTCCTTGTCCCACCCTGGTCATGCCGGTTACCTCCTCGCTGTCTCTCAGTTTCCACCCTGGCCTCTGCTGTTTGCTCTCTACACAGGAGCAAGAGAAGCCAGTTAACATCCAAGTCAGAGCCTGTCTCCCCATGCTCAAACCTTGCTGAGGCTGCATCTCACTCCAAGAACAGGTCAAAATCTTCTAGAGACCTGTACAGGGCTGTGCTGGCTCCATACAAGCCTCTGACCCCATCTCCCCCAGCTCTCCGTCCACGCTGTTCCAAGAAC